GTAACGCGGAACGAGAGTAGAACCAATCACGAGATTCTCTAGAAACACGGAATGCTCGTTATTGGTTCTGCTCTCGTTCCGCGTTACGCTATTCCGCTGCATGGGTTTGCACCCTTACAGTCCAGACATGCACAAGCTTTTGCATAACGCATAACGCATAGTGCATAAGAAAATCAGCCAATCAAAGTTCTTATTTCCGAGAAGTAGAAGGAAAGGAGGAATTCAGATTGGTTGTTTCTCTTATATGCACTATGTATTATGCGTTATGCAAAAGTCTGTGCTCCTCGCTTTAAGCCTATTGCACATGAAATGCGTAATAGAGCATGAGCATAACATAAAACTGTTGGACCAATAAGCATCCAGCATAAAGTTGCCATATTAATTAACATAAAATGCTCATTGGTCCAGCGGTCCTATGTTATGTTTATGCACTGTTATGCATTTCATATGCGATAAGCGGGGAGCACAGACTTTTGCATAACGCATAAAGCATGTGCATAAGGAATTCCATTGGTCCATTTTCTTATGCATGAGTCAATGGACCAATCAAATTCTTTATGTATATGGTTTATGCGTTATGCAAAAGTCTGTGCTCCCCGCTATAGACTCAAGACTCGTCTAAAATACGTCTTTAAGACGACTTTTAATCAAATCCCAAAGACATCTATTTTTTTAGACGTCTTTTAGACGTCCGTCACAAGATGTCTTTTGGACATCCTTTTAAGGGTTATTAGATGTATCTGAAAGACGTTTTTAAGGCCGGTATAGTCATAGTCGATTCTTATTTTAAGATCGTCTTAAGTAATGTCAGAGAGAAAAATGTCTTAATATGCTAATGCAGCTGTCTGATTGGTTCATGATACCTCAAAATTGAACTTAAGGTGGTCTTAAATATAAGAATTGATTATGAATTCGGCCTTGGAGTCATAAGCCAGTATTTATAGTCAGGAGCTCTATTCTTGAAAAGAAACGTATACGAAAGTCTAGGGAAATACTATAGTATATGTTACGTATACTATAGTATTTTCCTAATTTTTCGTATACGTTTCTTTTCAAGAATAGACCCCCAGTTCTTATATTTAAGACCGTAACTAAAAATGGCGTTGTTCGCAAACGAACTATGAAATCCACCAATCGTCTATTAGAAAGCCACTTTAGTACCATTGAATAAATGTCATGATTGGATGACAGTCACGTCAATCAGGACGCGTAACATCGATTGCGTTTATCTGATATCTAGGACTCTAGATAAACTTATACTTGCTGTAATGGAAAATAATAAAGTAAAATCAAAAAGAAATACTAGATACAGTTCTGTGGCACAGTGCCATAATTATAAAAATGTATAAAAAGGAGATCAGTTTCCATCACTTTCCGAAAGATGACGAAATCATCTTTGCATCGCCAATATGCGAGATTCATTTCTCAGAATATGCGCATTGAGAACCATACGTCTAATCGGAAGTCATGTATTTGTCCCAATAGAGCGACAGAACCTGTCGGAAATACCGTATAGAGCCGTATAAGCGAGATTCGTTTCTCGGAAAATGCGCATTGAGAACGATACGTCTAATCGGAAGTCTCATATTT